CATTGTGCTATTATAGATGTGAAAGCTATGGTATGTAACTGTTTAGTGGTGAATAGACTACAAGTATGAAGCCCACCACATATTGTGATATAAGGGCAATTTAAAGAATTGTATGGGTCCTTTTGATAGCTCCTTTCCACCTTTCCTCTCAACTCCTGCTCCCACACCACCCTTTGTTCAGGATTTAGCTCAAGAAGATCTTTTCAGGGTTCTTAGGGGGCATAGAGGGGTAGTTTGGAAAGAGGTAAATTGCACAATATTTGACTTGGCAGTATCATAATTGGTAGGTTGCTGGCAGTGCAGATTCAGTGGAGAACTCCAATCTGCATGACTGCAGAAGCCGTCATCTTTATACAAATCTTGAAAACACTTTAAGCCTTTATTGTGCCATTGCATAAAAATAGCATCTGTACGTGATGGAGTGAAGGTATGCTTACCAATTTACAATCTGTTTACCCAGTAAATAGTCACATAAAGTGGATAAAAACTTGTTACAATGTGACAATGATCTCACCTGCACCTGCAACTCTGGCCAAAACCACATCTTTGTCTCTCTCTCTGTTATTTTCTCACAGACAAGAGTACAATGAAAAAGGCATTTTACTGGACAAACATTTATTCATACCCCGTCTGGCTCGTTGTCTAAACTGTTGTTTCATAAGGGGTTTTGTTCATTTTTTCTGCTGACGGCTGTTCTAATAGGGGGTTAAGGGAGTTGGGTGGTGGTGGGGTAGGGGGGGTTACGTTGAGTCTTTATTTACCCGAGCAGAAGAAATCGATGCATCTCTGCCGTAGGAGAAGTGTGTGGATCAATGGAAGGTTTCAAAAAGCCTCTGTGAAAAATCAATGTCCCTTACATGCTATTGATGGCTGTTTGGCGGTAGAAGAAAAGAGAACGACAAAGAACACCTGTTTATTGTGAAAAATTACTCCCCTCTTGCTTTGTTTTAGTCTTTCTGGATCTCTCTCTTTGTTTTATCTAGGCTTGTGTTTTTGTTTCCTCTCCAATGCTATCTTATAGCCATTCATTTAATTTTTTTTGTTAAAAGTTATGCTCCACTCATACCCATATATTGTATGCTGAAATGGGGGAGTAATGAGTTACATTTTTCCTTCTGTGGAGGCCGCCATGTTGAACCGCCATGTTTCTACAGTAGTTTAATGCAACATACTTTTTACTCTTAAGTAGATTTTGAGAGAAAAATCATAACTTTTACGCCATTACATTTGGATATATTAATTGCGTTACTTTATTTATTCACTCTTTTATTTATGGAAATTATGTTAAAAGAGGCTTGTAGTCTGCTGATCGCAGGTCTGCTGGCTGTTATCCTACTGCAGCCACACCCCCTCATGACTCATAGTAGAATAATTGCTTTAGGTACAGCGGGAGATTCAGATAGGATGGGGGGGAGTATTCTTCGCATCCCTTTTTTGCAGCAAGCTCAGTTGTAAACGTTCGGTGTGAGGTCAGTGCATAACTGACAGAAAGCACTAAGTGTATCTGTTGTCTTAATGCTGGTAAGTTTCATACTATATATACATTATCATTCTGTCACAACATCAGCCAGATCTTAGCATTCATTCACTTACCTGCTCTGTGTTTTCCTGTCATACACTAACTCTCCCTGTCAAGCCACTCCCTCGTGCCTTGCATTAATCCTCCTGACCATTTCCGCCCACTTTCTTACCTGATTAATCTAGGGGTATATACCGGTCCATTTCCACTCTGTATTTTCTAGTGTGCATAGTTTTCCAGAATTCATTCTGCCTGTCTAATTCTGCCTGCTTGATCTACTGCCTGAACCACAGCTTGATCATTTATTTTTTGTATTACTTATTGGATTTGTTTGTCTGGTCTGACTGTCTACCTGTTTTTGACTCTTGCCTGCTTCTGAACAAAGTAATCTTGAACTTTTAACTTAACCTGTCTTTCTGTGAATTATGCTTTTGGGTTCTAGCTTGCCGTCTTTCTGAACCATTATGAATGTATCATCATATATTACGCTTCAAAACTACTACTACTCCTGCTTTCTGGCAGAATGTAAATATCTGAGCTAATGGTGTGTGTCTTTGTGACTGTATAAACCATTTAACTAGTCTTATTGTCCTGGTGAATATCTGCTGCAGCAGATTAGGAGATGATGCCATCACATTTCATTACTTATTTATCTTTACCTTAGGCAGTGGTTGAAATGATGTCAGTCGTACCCACATAAAAGAAGTCAGAGAAAGACAGTAGAGCGCAGATATTTTCCTTTTTTTCAAGTTATTTAAGTCATCTTTTCAGTAGGTATTTTGATGACTACTTTTTACTTATGCTTGTAAGAAAGCACAACACCTCTGTCCATCATCTAGGAAGACAAAAAATGAGTGGAAACCGGTGTTGCTATCACTGAGCTACATTCAGGACAAGTCTGACACTACATGGTGAAGGTCTAATATTAAGCCACAGAGTTACACCCTGTGCGTGCTACACCTTGATGTACATTGAAAGAGTATGAAGTGCGGGAGCAATTATTTCAGCACCGCTATTAATAAAAAGCAGTCAATAACATCTCATTGAGCTCTGACACTGTCTTGGCTTTAGAGAGCAGTGGGAGTACAGTTCTGCCAAGACTTCACGTAAGCAGTCAACATCTCCCTCGAGCCATGTCACGCTGCAAGCTGAGAGGCCAGTCAGTAGGGCCTCTGTCCTGACACCTGCCCGATCCTGTGCTGGCCTGATCAAAGTGACAGTCCTGCAGACCCGCAGAGATGCAGGTGAGGGCTGCTGTCACCCCGCCTGTCCAACTGATGGCAACTTGGTCAGGGCAGGGAGAAAAGCGGCGGGATGGTGGGGAAGGCCGCTGCCTGCACGTCACTCAGTGGTGCGCTGGATGACAGAACAGCCCATTAGGAAAGGGACTGACTTCACAGGCCATTAGGGGAGGCATCACACAGCCACAGCACACAGAGCACTGAGTAATGGCCCAGTTGGAGAGAGACAGGGGAGGAGATGACAGAAACACAGCAAGTTCTGTTTTGTAACATGCTCTGTATAAAACTTAAAATTGCAATTAACATATTAAATGTCAGAGACTGAAAAAAAGGTTCCGTCTGTGTGACGGAATTAAAGTTCTTGGATTTTTTTGTTGTTTTGATTGAAGCAGATGCACACAAACCTTAATTCTCAACAGAGGACCAAAGAGGTTATAAAAGCGGACTAAACACATAAACAACAAGAATGGCAAAATCATCCCCATGCCATCCAACCCCCAGAGCTGTCTCCTTGTTAAAATCTTTAGTTCTCAGTATGGCCCTGTCTGCCCTCCAGCCATCATTAAAGAGAACGGCAGGAGCCTGAGAGCCCAACAGAGGCATCAGCACGCATCACTTCTCCTCTGCTCTGAACGCTCCACTCCCTGCAATCCACCAGCCCCTGATGGACCTATTTACTGCACAAAGTGGACTGTGTTTGGTTGCACACTATACTTCCAAATGTTCCTTTGATACCCCCTCTCTCTCTCTCTCTCTCTCTCTCTCTCTCTCTCTCTCCCTGGTTCTGACCAGCTCATGGTATCAGCAGAACTGTCTTGCCAGTTTATGGCTGGTGTTAGCACTACTGAAGTGCTCAACGTGCTCAGATGAGAGTGCCACACTGTGCCAGGCTGATGGGACACACTCCAGCTGTAGAAGCACTCCAACTCCAAAACAAAGACTTACAAACTCTCCCCTCTTTGACTTGATGTTTTTGTCTCTATAAAAAAGGGAGAATAAAAAAAAGTTTCCTTCAAGCAGCTCCCCAAGCTTTTCCCTGGGGATTGGATGAAACCCGGTAGAAAAACAAAGAACAGAAACAAAAGGAAAAAAAATGCTTCTTTTGCACAATTTAAGACCCAAAAGAGATAAACTGTGAGAGTTTTGTAAACAGCGAGGAAAAGCTGATGGCTAGATATTGCAGATAAAGAGAGAAGGAAAGTGGGAGCAGGGAATGAAGCAGCGGTCTTGTGGAATGATGTTTTTTTGAAGAATTACAACGCACACCACAAGCTAAGAGGATAGAGCTTTGCTATGAGAGAGGCAAACTGCGCATTCTGTTGTGACAGAATCTCTGAATTTTAAACACTGCAGCTCGACAACACATTTACACAAACGTTTATTTATTCATGTTTTTTTTTCTCAGACAGGCTTGTACAGGCTCGACCTCCAACCCTCACCATGTTGTGCTGATATTTTGCACTTATTAAAAGTAGCAGTTTTGCAGAAATGAAATTTGCCGTGATGGGAGTCAGTTGTTGTTGCCATATTGCAATCTTGAATGATAAATGAGGAGAGGTTTTTTGAATAATCATTAGGCACCAACAGCTGAGGTGTTACTATTTGTATAATTCCTGTTTCCTTAGACATGGTTGCAAGTTTTTTTTCATGTTATTAACTCTAATTAATTGTAATTTAAGCCATCAAGCTGTTAATGGGGAATAGAGGATGAACCACTGGGCTTGGGAATAGAAGCTTTTCATAAATTCTCCCACAGGAGGCCCAGCATTATGGCTTCAGTAAAGATTCTGTGACAAATTGTATTGTTATAAAGAAGCAATAGAAATAGTACTGAACTTCGGGCAACCTTTCTGAAATGGCCTGATAAAGGAAAGAAAGGCTGCATGGAGAAGCAGAAATAATAATTCGTTATACTATGAACCCAATGGACCTCACACTGTGGGAGAGTTTAGCTGCTTAGCTGTTGTGGAGCCCGATCTGTGTCTGAAGGGAAAACTTCTCAGGGCCAATCAGGGCTGTTTAAATACCTTAAGATTTTGTGGCTATAATTACATCAGGGGAACACAACATAATCATCTGCGAGGATGTGGAGAACAAACCAGTTATGCTAATGTATTTCTGTTCTTTATCACTGTTCATCACACATCCACAATCAGCATTATCCGTGAAGTGCCCTCAAGAAATCCCAGCTGTAAATTCAGAACGAATCAGCGATGCGTCCCATCAAATCTGTCACTTACGCTGACGAGCATCTGAGGGAATGGTCCTCGAGAATTTTCTGCCACGTTGATTGGTGGGATCACCCAGTCCCTCTTCTGTCTCCGTAGACCCTTGGAGCTGTTCAGGCCAGACCCTGAGAACATGATGACAGGAGGTGGTGCTTGGAATGCCTCCTTCCTCTCTTTTTTCTCAGCGACTTTCCCCTTCTCCTTTGTGACCTTTAAGAAAACACAAGGCTATATTTAGGAGGCTGTTAATGATAACAGTAACTGATGTGATGTCTCAAAGCAGAAATTGACAGGGCAACAAGAATAACATTTTAGTATTGTTAATTAGGTAAAAAATCTGTGTGTAGTGAGAATTCTTGTGATTTTTTTAGGAGTTGAGTCACTGTCTTACTGATTAAGAGGTAAGGTTTTTTTCATACAGTAAGCGCTGTGTAAGCCACCTGGCAACATCATATGGTCTGTATTTCAAATGGGCAACAGTAGGGCACGACTCTGTGACTGTGGGCTACATCTGAACCTACTAACAGACTGCGCCATATGCTACCTACATTTCCTCATCATAGGTCATAGCTTAAAATAGAGGAAATCAATAGCAAGTTTATCTAACTAACATATATATTAAAAAAAACGGATAATCAAATTTGGAAGCTAATGTTGCATCAAGACCATTTTATTTGTTGATATGTCCTTGTTTGCTGGTGAAGAGGTGCATTATTCAGGGAACTCAGATACCAGCAAAATTGGTGCCTGCTTCATTTTCTGTGGGTGGTTTCTATGGTTGCCTTGGCGCCAGGTTGGGAAAAACCTCAACCATTATCAGCTCAGATGGTAGTGGCAAATACCAAATTTTGGTTGGTTGCACCATCTCCTTACTGTCCGAACGTATCACTCTAAATATAAGTAAATGTGTTAGGCTATAACAATAACTGTAGTGAGGAAAGAGTGTGTGTGTGTGTGTGTGTGTGTGTGTGTGCTCTCTGGCTCCTCAGTCTCCATCATGAAAAGCAGCCTGTGCAACACACATGCATGGTTCTATTAATTACTTCTGTAACCTACAGTATATCTGTCATCACTATAGCTGAAGAGAAAGCATGATGTTGCCAAGGAAACAAAGTGCTATGGATCCACTCACACACTTATTCACTCTTTCATTCATTCAATCTCTCACTCTATTACTCACTTGCTCCCTCACTAATTCAATTAAGTGTTGATTAGGAAGCATAGCAGCCAGAATAAGGATCAATCACGCACATCATTGCTCTAATACTGCTTGAATACCTTAAGGATGATACTGTATAGTAGTATACTACCAGAACCAAACGTTGCAAGTAAATTAAGTGTGTGCCTTTTTGACATCTTTATACACTAAATCCACTGGAATCATCACATGGTGGAATTCCTCCACATCATACTTTGGCATTGAATGATCATTAGGAGATAACCAGCATTGGTTTTTCAGACAATATTGCCTCTTATATTATGTATTGGGATTTGGTTGAATTATTTTCCTTATTACTGGACCTCATACATTCTGAATAAATCCCTGAAATAACAATAACATCAAAAAAGACAGAAATAAAAAGAAAGAAGTGTAAATTAACATTTATAATGAACAGACTATCTATTGTTTGGAATGACAGAGATTTTCGAAATAGGCCAAGAGCTAAACAAAAGGCATATCATTGATGTTTTAATAATTTGACCATATTAGCTGAAACTACATGGCAATTAAGAAATTCATTACAATGAGAAGAGAAAATATAAACTAAATATGAATTACAAGCTTACAAGCTTGAATAAACCAGACCACAAAAATCTTCTGTTCTATTTATCTACAAAATTGCTTCCTATTTACCACTTTGTTTGATAAGTAGTTAACTGTAATACTTCCAAAAGCATTAGAAAAAACAAACATTTTAAATAAAAACTACGAGAATCCTTTCATTATTTGCACCCATACTGTAACTGACATGATAAGACTAACAAGCATGGAAAAGGAAAATGTGTCATAGCAGTAGTAAAATTCTTAATTAATTTGAGTCATCATGCATCAGGCCTGAGCAAGACAGAGCTGTAAAGTGTGAGCACAGATGTGACGCCTCTGTGAAGTCTTTGCATCTGAGGGTTTGTGTGTGTGTGTGTGTATTTGTGCATATATGTGAAAAAGGCCATAAACTATACACTTTGTCATTTACACCGGGTATAAAAAGTCTATTAACACAGAGCATGTCTGGGGTAGGATTTACAGCTTTTTTCAGTAGACAGTGACAGCTGAGTCACAGACACAAGCTTCAATCATACAGTATTCTCCCATCATACGCTCCCCTCACACACTCCCTGCAGGCAGAGAGAAATGACCACCACAAACCTGTCTTTTTGAAAGATGCTCAAATAAGGAACTTGAAAAGGGGCCCATTTTCAATCTCCTCATGAACATTAACTCACCCATGAGTCAGAAAAGCTACATCAAATGCTGAAGCTATCTCAAGCATATCCCTAAATGAATGTCCTCATGTGGAAATGCAGCAAAACACATGAAGGGGAACTACAGAGATTCTGCTTCATTACAGATGCTTCCAGAGTGGGAAGAAACAAACCAAAGTCATTGAAAATACAGTAAGAGAGCTTTAATTGCCAGTATTTCTAGCTGGCTACCAAAGGCACCTGAGGGAATATAATCAAATATGTTGCTTTGTATGTTCAAGTACATTACATTTATCAACACCTCTATGTCAAGGTTACATAGGGTATACCATTTCAACACTTACTTTTTAAATACTACACGTTTGGCGTCGCAAGGGCTGTATAGATGCACCAAGTTCACCTACATATCTCTGGGTTAAAAGCAGTTAATAATTTGTTCACTTTAAACAGTGAGGATGGCCCAGTGGGAGGGTTACAGTTAGGGTAACCCCATGGGTCAATGGGTTTATTTTCAGCATCACAGACACTACTGAATGATCATAGAAATATTATAGGAATAAAAAGGAACAATTACAAATCCATCTGCTACTTCAGCACCACGGACAGGGCCTTGGATTTACCAGTTAGGCTACTGATATTTCAGAGCCATGGTCAGGGCAATAGATTCTAACTTGCACAACCCCCCTTTCTCTGCTACTAGGGGATGGAGAGGCGGGTGGCAGGTTACCAGCGGAGATGCATTTCGGTCATTTAGCACCCCCCTTCAAATCTCCTGCATGTCAAAATTTCAGTCACATCATTGCTGAAGCTATGTGTCAATTGAACTCTCTGTCTCAATCACTTTCTCCTGAGTTATCCCTTGCTCCCGTGCCCCCCCCCCCCCATGCCCTTCTCTTGCAGTGTTATTGTTTTTCTCCATCTCTCCTCCCAGTCAGTGGTTCCTGACAGCTTGTCTCAATAACAGTGATTCCTCGAGCACTGGGCTGTGTTAGGCTGATGGCGCACCAGCAGGTAAAACAGCGGCACAGAGCTTCACCTACCAAACACTCCTACCACCAAGACCCAACAAATTCCCAAGTCATGTCTTTTTCATGCCTGCTCTGGGGGCACCAATGGAGCACTCACTCGCTCAACCATTATTTATATAGGGTTGTCCAATGATGATAGCAATGCACTCTCTCTTGCATGGTTGCTCTGTCAAAAGTTAATATATAAATGCATATAAATATGCAGATGAAATGGAGAGAAAAAACATGAAAAAAATTTGAATAAATATTGTAGATACAGGGATACACAATGGTGGACAGCACACACTAATATGCTTGCAAATGTAATTGTATAAAGGTCCAGTGTGTAACATTTAAGGAGATCTATTGTAAGGAATTTAATATAATATTTATAGATATGTTTTTATTTGTGTATAATCACCTGAAAATAATAATCATTATGTTTTTGTAACCTTTGAATGAGCCGGTTTTATCTACAGATGCAACGGGTCACGTTCCATGGTGGCTGCCATGTTAAGCCACCATCATTCTACAGTAGCCAGAATGGAAAACCACACACTGGCTCTTATTTTTTGCATGTTAAGTGGTCACTGTAGTTTCTCCCCTGGCTTGGAAAGGGAGGGTGAAGTGAGCTGCAACTACTGTTAGATGCCATTAAATCCTACACACTGGACCTTTAACATAGCAATCAAGAATAATGGAAATCATCTGTACCAGAACCTAGTTAAGTGCCTGCACATACAAAAAGTGTATATACCAGCAAAAAACTTTTTTATTTTAATGTATGGGTAAGGGTATAAATTAATTACATGAAGTTGAGCCATGAGTGAAAAACACATCCATAAGGGAAACAAAATAAACATGTTTGCTGTTTAAGTCTTTATCAATAAGATTTTAGCAATCCTAGCCATAGTCTAGAACCAAAGATTTTTAAAATTGTGATTACTATTGTGTGTTTAATCCAAGCACAGGCTATTAGACATCTGTTCACCCTAATTAAGGCTCCTTGTCTTGTTGGCCAAGGGAGTGGGTAGCCTGATTATGTGTTTGGTTGTGAGGTAGATGACGTGATTGTGTTATAGTAAAGAAAACAGTGAAGGCAGAGAGTGGAGAATATGTGCATGCTCCGTGTCCATGTACGTGTGTGTGTGTGTGTGTGTGTGTGTGTGTGTGTGTGTGTGTGTCTGTAGGTGTGTGTGTGTGTGCGTAGGTCTGTGTGTGTGTGTGCGGGGGAAGGTGTTCATATCAGAGTACAAGAAGATCTGGGCTTGTGAGCATAAGAGAAAGAGGTTCAATCACCATACATTTACATATAAAGAGGCTAGTGTTTTTAATACCTCTTCCAATTTTTCATTTTATATTACTTCTGTGCAATATGTAGCCTTACAGTTCCTCCCCAGCATTTGACATTTGAGAATAAAAATAAAATACAACACAGAAGCAGGCTCCAGTGTTGGAAGATGGGAATGGCTTCTGGCACATATTGAAAGTTGAGGGTCCTGTACAATGCAGTCTATAAAAAGTGTTTTCTCTTTGTCTACCTCCGTTTGTTCTTGCCTGGTCAAGATCCCTCAGAGGGTTGGCTTGTATCTGCCAGCGGAAACAATGCTTTCAAGGCTGACTTCATTAGATGGACGCCCAGGAGAAAAGCTTTTAAGGCTGCTTTAAAGGAAATGTGTCAAACAACCTGGCATATGGTGTGTATGTGTTTGTGTGGGTGGGTAGAGATGTGGGGTGTGGAGGGGTATGGTCTAAAGTGTCGTGTTCAGTTTCATCAAC